AAATTTCATGCTTTTTATCCAATTTCTCAGGATAAAATTGAAACAAAATTTTATTCTAATTCAACAGAATCGCAAATATTAAATATAACATTTCACAAATTTTAAATTATGGAATGAATATGATTGTCTATCTCTATTTCTATATTTCTATATTATTAATATGAATGAATAATAAAAAAATTATACAAAAGATTTTATTATTGGAAATATATTACATTATTAAGTGTCTAATGGGCATTTACCCACACTGCCCCTCAATTTATTTAGTATATTTAATAGAAATTTAAAATATTTTTAGTATAAAAAGTGAAAATATCCGTTTATTGATAAGTTTGCAGCAAAATTTTAACCAAAATCCGTAATTTCATAAAGCGCCATCTATTATTTTTTTAAATTTTTGGAGTCGATAGCGTCGCCAAAGTTTTGACATCGTATATATATTTATAAAAGGTGTCTAAATAAAAAGCAATAAAAAAATTTCGAAAACAAACTCCCTTTTTTGCTTAAAAATACAGGTAAAGCATTATAGATAAACCGGAAGTTAAAGATTCAAATTGGCGCCAATTTTTATTATTTTTTGATAGCCTTTTAGAGATTATTTTTACCTACAATATGATATATTATATATCTTTTTACTATAAATAGTTCTTGAGATATAAGCTTTTTAAAAATTTTACAGATTCCAAAGTGGCTCTTTTTTGTACCTATGAGCCCCTATATCAAGAGAACCATGTGTGCTAGAGAGCTAAAATAAACGGCTTTCTCATTTATTTACCCTTCTAAATAATTCCAGAAATTTTTAACAATTTTAAAAGGGGTCGGTCGAATCGTGATCGATTTGACGTGGAATGGCCCATAGACGATTTAAGTTTATTATTAATATCTTAATTGTTTTTTATTTTATAAAAATTATTTTTTATTTTCTTAGCAATCAATTCTTTATTCATATTTTAAAATTAAATTAAAAAATATTATTTTGTTAAAATTATGTTATAAAAAATAAAATTTATATATTATATAAGAAAATAAAAATGAAAATAAAAAGGGCAATATAAAGATAAATCATTACTAAAATAAAATAACACAATGGAGTAATTTCATTATTCCCAAAAAAGGAAATTTTAATTTTCAATATCTAAAAAATTATATATTTTAAGAAAAAAGTTTTATTTCATTACCATAAAAGGAGATTTTAATTTGTTTATAGAAAAAAGTTTGTTTTTATTTGTAGAAAAAGTTTTTTTAATTGAAGAAAAAAGTTGATTTATTTTATAAAAAGTTATACCAGAAAAAGGCTTTTTATTTTTTAAGTTCGTAAGAACAATTTTTTATTAATTAAAAGAAAAAATTTTAATTTTTTTAACCCGCCCACCAGCCCATTGTTAAAATTTTTAACCCGCCCGACCGCCCACTTAGACGGGCGGGCGCGGGAGGGCGGGCAGGAAACACGACCAATGCAGACCTCTATTTTATATTATAGCGTGAGGTTAGCCCCCCCCCCCCATCGATATTCAAATTTTGAGATTTTTCAAATTTTTAAAACGGGATTGATTTGTACCCGATTTGTAACGTTTTAAACTCGATTTGTACTATTACCGTTTTCCAGCTATTGACCGTTAAAGATATGGCGCCAAAAATATAAAACACTCAAAATTTATATTTTTAAAAATTTTTTAACGTACAACGCAGAATTTTTTTCTCTTCCTAATGATGGCTCAAATATCTTCATTATTTATTTCGGAAATCAAATTTTAAACCTTATATTTTAGCGTGAACTTAGACCCCCCCCCGATATTCAAAATTTGAGATTTTACAAATTTTTAAAACGGGATTGATTTGTACCCGATTTGTAACGTTTCAAACTCGATTTGTACTATTACCGTATTCCAGCTAATGGGTAAAAAGAAAACAATTATGTAGAACTACTCTAGTTGTTTCCGTTTCGATATCTTATTTATTACAAAAAAGTAAATAAAATAATTAAAATAAAAAAAACATGGAGATCATAATAATTTTGTAATTTACATGTTATTTATTTATAATATTCAAAATTTCTAAAAATTATAAAAATTATAAAATTACAAAATTATAAATTACCATTTATTTATAATATTCCAAAGTTATGATTATTTTGGAAATAAAAGGAAAAGAAAACAAAAGAAAAATAATAAATAAATAAATAATAATAAAAGGAACCCGACAAAATTATAATACATGAATAAATAAAAAAATAAGATGGAGTTCTAAATGCTAAATTTAATAATTTTAAAAAGGATATAAATAATAATTTAAAATGGAATCTAAAATGGAGGATATATTTAATATAGGAGAGGGGGAGATTTAAAAATAAAATGGTGAATAGTTTAATAAACTTAGTTTTAAATTACTATAAGAGAAGGGTAGATTAAAACCCAAAAAATAAAATGAAAGATAACTTAGTAAACTTAGTTCTAAAATTAACATAAGAAGAGGGGAGATTAAACAGAAAAGTAAAATTTAAAATTGAATCTAAAATGGAAGATATATTTAATATAAAAGAAAGGGAGATAGAAACAGAAAAAAAAATGATGAATAACTTAGTAAACTTAGTTTTAAATTAATCTAAGAGAAGGGGCGATTAAAACACAATATAGAATGGTGAATAACTTAGTGAATTTAGTTCCAAAATTTACATAAGGGAAGGGGAGATTAAACAGAAAAGCAAGATTGTGAATAACTTAGTTAAATTAGTCCTAAAAATATATTCTATGCTAAAATTAATTATATTAGACCTCATTTTTCAAGTTATGTTAAGATTAAGATCTTACCAAAATATTGAGTAAATGTAATAGATAAATAAATAATAACAGAAAAATAAAATCGAGTTCTAATTTTACATCTTATGCAAAAATTTTTTTTTTAAAGATACAAATAATAATTTAAAATGGAGGATATATTTAACATAAGAGAAGGGGAGATTGAAACAGAAAAGTAAAATGGTGTATAACTTAGAATTTAGTCTAAAAATACATTCTATACTAAATTTGATAATATTAGAAATTAAGGTCTTAAAGGATTTAAGTCTATATTAAAATTAATTATATTAGAAATTAGAGTCTATACTTAAATTGATTATATTAGAAATTAGGTCTTAAAGGATTTAAGAAGGAACTTAGTCCTCATTTTTATCTTATATGTATTAAATTTATGTTAAGATTAAGGTTATCGTGATGGGTGAAAGAAGAAAAGAAAATGTTTTTTTTATTTGTTAGCATGAGTTGCCATTTTATATAATAAAAAATGGAAAAGGTAATATTTTTTTTATGTTGTTATTATAAAAAAAAATTAAAAAAAAAAATAGCGTAAATTGTTTTTTTTTAAATTATTATTTATTTATTTTTTGAAAAAAGAAAAAAATGTGTATAAAATACGCGAAAAACAAATTATATCATTATTATTTTAATTTATTTTACATTAAAAAAAAAAAGAAAAAAAATAAAGACAATATTGTAAGAAATACTTTGTGATAATTTTTTTTGGGTTTGGGATACTTCTTGCTTGAATTTTGGGACAATCTTTTTTAAAGTTTTTGAGGCAATAATCTTTTTTTAAAATTGGTGCCTTTATAAATGTTCGAACCTGGGTTATAGATAAAAAACTTTGTGTGATATATAAAAATTCTTAGTGGCTTTGTGATATTTAAAAATTAGTGGCTTTGTGATATATAAAAATTCTTAGTGGCTTTGTGATATATAAAATTTCTTAGTGGCTTTGTGATATTTAAAAATTCTTAGTGGCTTTGTGATATTTAAAAATTCTTAGTGGTTTTGTGATATTTAAAAATTCTTAGTGGCTTTGTGATATTTAAAAATTCTTAGTTGCTTTGTGATATTTAAAAATTCTTAGTGGCTTTGTGTTATTTAAAAATTCTTAGTGGCTTTGTGATATATAAAATTTCTTAGTGGCTTTGTGATATTTAAAAATTCTTAGTGGCTTTGTGATATTTAAAAATTCTTAGTGGTTTTGTGATATTTAAAAATTCTTAGTGGCTGTGTGATATATAAAAATTCTTAGTTGCTTTGTGATATTTAAAAATTCTTAGTGGCTTTGTGTTATTTAAAAATTCTTAGTGGCTTTGTGATATATAAAAATTCTTTATGGCTTTGTGATATTTAAAAATTCTTAGTGGCTTTGTGATATATAAAAATATTTAGTGGCTTTGTGGGATATATAAAAATTCTTAGTGGCTTTGTGATATTTAAAAATTCTTAGTGGCTTTGTGATATATAAAAATACTTAGTGGCTTTGTGGGATATATAAAAATACTTAGTGGCTTGGTGGGGTATATAAAAATACTTTGTGGCTCAGTGGTATATAATTTTTTTTGGGGGCTTAGTGATTTATATAAGAAACTTTGTAGCTTTGTGGGTTTATAAGAAAAATAAATATATATATATAAATAGTAGCAATTAAACGCTTAAACTTTATTTAATCAATATATATGTATATGTGTTTTATTGGAACGTTCTAATTGTTTCATATCTCTTAACGTTACAGATAATAATTTTTATTTTAAAAGTTATAGTTAATTTCTTATAGATAATAATGAAAAGTTTAAAATTCATAAAATACTGGGAGGTCCAGTATAACATTCTTGGGGCACTAATCATTTTAGCTATATGGGTTTGCAGTTTTTTCTTTGGAAAAGGGATTAAGCATAGTAGAAATGTAAGAATTAGAAATCAGACATTAACCATTGAAGGGCATAATGGGGAAGAAGATATGATGGGAAAAGTAGGATGGACTGACAGCAGTATGGGAGAGTTTATTAGGAATGAGGAAATTAATAACACGGAAAGAGGGGGTAATTATAGAAAACCGGGGTATAACAATCAATTGGGAGGACCATATAGAGGACCAAGATAGAATTCACAAGGAAGGCGAATGGAAATGAGGCCTAGTTTTAATTTCCGAGGAAAAGAGAATTTCAGCTGTTATAATTGTGGAAAAAGGGGCCATATATGGTACGAGATTGTCTGGAAAGCAAATGTTTTAAATGTGGGAAATATGGCCATATTTCTCCCTATTGTCCAAAGAAACAGGATAAATTGCGATGTGCAGGCTGTGGACGGTATGGGCACAGTAAAGAGGATTGTAATGTAACCAATTTCAATACTAGAGGCGGTTTTCCCCAAAGGGACATGGGACAAAATCCTCCGAATATTAGAATTATTGAACAAAATAAAATATATTTTCGATGCATAAAGGATGGCCATGTTGCGAGATATTGTGAGTTTTTGTGACTATATGATAGCAAAGAGCATGCCCAGAAGGTCGGGAGGCAGGATAGGAAGAAAGTGAAAGGGTCGGATTGTACAGGAAGGGGAAAATCAAAAGGTGTAAATATGATACAAGAGGAGAGAGTACATGATCTTTGTCCTAGAGTTTGGATAAATTTAAATGAGAGTATGGTCACCATGTTATTTGATACCGGGGCGGCCATCTCCGTGATGGCCTATGAGAGGTATCTAAGTATTTGGTCTGAAGGAATAATTAAACGGGAGGACATCAAGATCCGTCAGTTGGATGGATCAGAAGTAGCAGTAATGGGCAGGGTGGAATTAAAGGTTATATTAGAGAATAGAGTGGAGATTTTGGACTTGTGGATAGTAGATCGAAAAATAGAATCAGTATTGGGATGGGATTGGATCACACGATGGGTCCAGATTGTAATTTTTGGGGGGTATTTGCGTGGTGTGGTATATTTGTACCTATTACAAGAGGTGAGGAAAATAGAGATATTAATTATTGGTATGGAGAAAATTTGCCAGGAATTGAAATCTTTTTAGAGGGGGAAAGGAGAGGGGAAGTAGATGGAGGTTTTAGAGATGATAGAAGATATATCGGGGCGAATTATAGGGGAGATATCGGGAGGAATTATAGGGGAGAAATACGTGGGAATTACAAGGGAGAAATACGTGGGAATTACAGGGGAGAAATACGTGGGAATTACAAGGGAGAAATACGTGGGAATTACAGAGGAGAAATCGGGGGAATTACAGGGGAGAAATACGTGGGAATTACAAGGGAGAAATACGTGGGAATTACAGAGGAGAAATCGGGGGGAATTACAGGGGAGATATTGGGGGGTATTATAGGGGAGATAGCGGGGGGAATTATAGGGCGTATCACGTCAATACCGCGAAATGTATTATCGCGAATGCATTATCGCGAATGTCGATTACCGCGAAAAGATATTATAGCGAATGCATTACCGCGAATGCATTATAGCGAATGTATCATAGCGAATATATTAGCGCGAATGCATTACAAACAACTAACATTATCACAATGCAATAGTGATTTATATTTGACAAAATTATATTTAACGCATTTATTAAGTTCCAAAAAACCAGAGAACCAGCTTAATTGTATATATTTATTTAAAGTAGCGTTTTAAAATTATTTACCTCTAAAACACGTCACTTGTTATTTATGAAATTCGTATTTTATTAAAAAATATGTGGAATTTGGTATACTCAATTTTTTAAACGATTAAATTAAGTCGTTTTTTACAAAAGACCCTATTAATAAATATTTTAATATTTTATATTTTAAGATTGATTCTAGTAAAAGTTAATTTTTGCCCCAACAAGCCCCAAACCCCAGGCTTGTAGATTATGTTGGTTTATTAAGTCTCCTATAGGATAATTGTTATTATCAATAATACACCATTTGTATATAAATAATTCATAAAAAATTTCAAAATGTGATATTATTTTAAAAAATGTTTAACTTTTAATGAATTTTTTAATTTTTTTTCTAATTCTTTTGATTATCAACCACCAGAAAAGGTGAAAGTTAAAGGGAAAAAAATAGAATTTAAAGCTATGAAAGCCAATAAATACTTATTATATCATATTTTTAAGCATAATATAATTAATTCGACCTAATTCTACTAGCCTCTAGTTACTGATATGATTAACCCTTTCCAGCATTAAAAAAATATGTTGATAATTTTTAAAAATTTTTAAATAAGATTAGATGAAGGGGAACATCGGATTGAGACCTCTATCTTATTAAATCTTTTGTAATCGTCAAAATTATTAATTTTATAGCTTTAAAACATAAAATCTTATCTTTTTTAAATTTAAACATTGTTAAATTTAAAAATAATAAATGCCAACTCCTGTTTCAAATATAAATCTTAAAATGATAAAAAATATATTTAATTATATATTTTGGTGGTTTCAATAGAGATGATATGTGAATTTAGTTCAAATTTAATATTTTTTAAGTTATTTTCAAATCATATTATTCTGCCTAAAAGGGAATGCCTACAATAAATATTTTTAAACATAATGATTATGAGACTTTCTGAAATGGGAAAAGAAGATTTTTTAGTTTCATATTCTGTCTATTTAATTATTTCTAAATCTCACTGTGCAAATTGGTTTATTATTCATGATACGGTTTAAAACAATTTCAACTTTAAGAGAGACAGAAGGCCACTAATCCAAATTTTTATGCCGTTCAATATTATAGTGAAAAACATTTTAATTATGCTTTAATATTATTTACTTATCTTAAATTCCGTATAAAACAATTTATAAAATACAGAGAAAATATTCAAAATAACGAAATTTGAAAATTTAGCAGGGCTTTAAATAATCAGAGCTAAAAAATGCAGACCGAAGAACACAGGTATATTAATTTACGACATTTATATTATTTATTTTATTACTAATTATGACATTGAAATATGTTAAATTCAATTTTGTCTGTACTGTAAAAAATAGCTAAATATTAATAAAAGTATAATTTTTTTTGGTGTTGATAAAGCTATCCTTTCAAAAATAACCCAGCGGCTGAAATAATATTTTACTATTAAAATCTTAGACATTTTTGGAATTGGATAAAAATAAAGTTATTACCAAACTATAATTTACTTCTGGCACCTTACTTTAAAAAGATGAAAGGTGCAATAATTTTTTTTCAATTTTTTTAAAGATTTAAATAAGTTAATTGATGATACTACGAAATAAGATTTATAAATAGATTACATGACTTGTTTATTAACTCTTATTTTGTTATATTTTATTACTCTAAAATAATAATTTAATTTTTTTTAAATTCTGGAACCCTAACTGAACTTGGGATCAAGACTAGTGTCTGAAAACTCGTTATATTAAAATTTATTAATGTTTACAACCCTTAATATTTTTGATTAGTGATTTTTTTAAATCTCACTTTCGCGTTTCAATTTATATATAAAATTTAATTTTATTTATAAAACTCTTCATATATTATTAAAGATCAATTCACTATATTGCCACAAAAATGAATTTTTCTAACCAAAAATCTAATAATAATAATATGAGAATACAATTACAATCTGCTAGCTGCTTATAGAGTTTTATATTTTTACTAAAAAATATAAAATAATATAAAAATATATATTTGCTATTTTATTTTTTTATTATAATTTCCCCCCCATCGCAAATTTGACTATTTTCATAAATATCATTTTAAGCTAATAAAAATTTTACCACATTATTGTAAAATTATATATTTAAATTAATATTGGATGCTAGGCCCTTCAAGTACGATAAAATATCGCGATTTCTGTAATCCGATACTATTCTTTTTAGTCTTTCTGAGAGATTCCGGTATTTTTTTCTTGGAGAAGCTTCATCACCTCCTTGTAGTTGGACAATTTTTAACTCAGTTAAACTTTGTTGCTTTTTAAGTCCTTAAAATGATATAAATATTCAATGTATAATCAATTTTCCTTTTTTAATTTAAAAAAACTAAATTATTCTAGAATTTTTTTCTTAAATTTTTTACCTGGAAATTTAATATTATACCTGTTATAAATCTCCATATTGTAAGTTGATAGGAAGTCAGCAATGAATTAAAATTCCTGTGCCATCTTTCCACATAATTTTTTGTATTCGCGTTGCCATTAAGTGTGAAATTATAGCAATTCCATAAGGGAATGGGAAAAATTGGGATTAATCTTTCCCTCCCATAAGATTTCCCTATAAATGTGTTTTAAAATAATCAATAATCGGCTGTAAAATAACATTTTCTTGATAAAACGGATACATTATTAATCTCTCAAAAGCCATTGTAACATCTGTTTCTGGCACATAGGCCAAACATACCATCATTTTTAAAAATAAACAAAATTGTGTATTGGTTTTATATTGCATTGATATTTCTGGAAACCTTTGTATTTTTCTCCAAAAACTTTGACCAAAATGAAATAAACATCCTCTTTGTTTCGTTAACGGGAAGACCGATTTTAATGCATTGATTGCCGATAACTCAAAATCGGTCATTATAAAATCAGGAGAGATTGTTACATATGATCGAATAATTTCAAAAACTCGCTTGTAATCACCGGTCATCAATATGTAAACTAGGGGGAAAACTGTTTTATTTTTTACTCCGTTAAGCGTATAAAGTTGATGAAAAAGAGGAGGTGTACATTTAAAAGTACCATCGGCGAACCACATCGCACATGAGGAGAGAAATTCAAGATTTTCATCAGTGGAGAATATTAAAAGTCGCTCGTTTATCTTAATTTATAATATAAAATTGCAGTATTAAAAATTTAATCTAATAATTTTTAAAATAATTACTTGCAATTTACCAAATTTTGATTTTCAGTTGAAATATTTAAAATTTAAACAAATTGTTCAATTTTACCTCATCATCATGAATGATAAAATTCTCGCCTTTCTCGGTAATAGTATATTCGTAGGGTAAAATTAATTTGGCCAAAGACGTTGGGCACGGTGGTGGATGATTGTGAGAGCTTCTTGTACGGTGTATTATCCTTTTAATAAGGCTGGAGTTAGGAATCTTCATTGCGATAGATTCATCTAGATTTGCCGATATCTCCGAGATAATCATACTGGGAGTATCGATAGTTGTTTTCGCTTTATGCTTAATTTCGTTAACAATTTTTCGTGACTCAGTTTGAGCAATATCCGGAATATGATTGTGCTCGAATTTATTTGGAATTTTTTCATTATTTCGGCATCTGAGCCTGGCCATACACTTGTGAGTATCTCTCTCTACGCACCTATAGTAGTAGGTAGGAGGCACCTTTTTATCAAGCCTGTAAACAAAGTTATTATATATCTCTAGATCTAAACCTTTATAACTTTTAATCATAATTATTTAAATGATATATTGAGTAATTTGTTTCAAAAATAAAAATATTTTAATAATATGTAAAATAAAATGACAAAAATTTTCGAATCTTTACTATTCTTAAAAAACAAGCCAGTTG